AGAAAGAAAGAAAGAAAGAAAGAAAGAAAGAAAGAAAGAAAGAAAGAAAGAAAGAAAGAAAGAGAGAGAAAGGGAGGGAGGGAGGGAGGGAGGGAGGAAGGAAGGAAGGAAGGAAGGAAGGAAGGAAAGAAAGATCCTTAGAGAAGTTATTTGTTCTTGGCAAGTTATAAGGCCCTGAGGATGGGTGTGGGCCTGGGGGTGACTCGAGGATTTGAGGCCCAAGAGCCTTTGTAGATCCCTGATTCGCCTCTGCCTATGTGGCCAAGTCGTTTGGGACTGATGGAGCCAGGCAGATGTGGTCAGAACGTCTCACCTGCCTTCTGTCCACAGAGTGACTTTAAGCAGGTCAGTTATCCCTGAAATGGAATGAAAAAATTTTTGCAGGGCCGTTGGGCCCTTGTAGGCATTCATCTGAAGATGCTCCCGGCAGCTGGGTGATTCCCCTAGGTGTGGCCTGTCCTACTCAACCAAGGTCAAGGCAGACCACACCCCAGGATCCCACAGATTCACTGCAGGTTCCAACTCTCCATTCCTTCCTGAGGGCCACGTATTAGGAGGGAGGAGGCTCATATAAGAAAGAAAATCAGGATAAAGGTGGGGTGGGAGCAGGGTGATACCAATAGGCCCAGGGGTCGTAAAAAAGAGGCAGAGGTGTGGCAAATCAGGCCCAGTTTGGTGGGTGGATCTTAAAGGCTAGAGTCCTCTGATCCTCTCACTGGGTCCCCCGTGTGTCCCCTACAGGTGGGGCCGGGACTCCAGGCACTCTCTGTGGCTCTGGTCATTCAGGGTCTACATGACAGGAGGACTAGAGGTTCTGGCTGGGGAGGCGAGAGGAGGATGGCACAGCTAGGTGCTGGGAGCCAAAGAGATGGAGCACAGGCTCTGTTCTCTGGACCAGGACACACCCTGTTTGGTAAAAGGGATATCCCACAAAGTCAAAAGCTTTCTCACACCTCCTACACTGACCTCCCTCTGTGTTTGTGCCCGCTTCAAAGCAGGAGACAAAACTTGGGGATGTATGGGCAGGTCGTGTCTCCTGAGCATCAGATTTCAAGATTCCAGGGAAACTTGGAACATAAAAGCACTTCCCAGACAGGTCCCTAGGGC